ACGATGTTTATTGAGTGATCTGGAGGAACAAGTTATATAAATGTTTTTGTTGTCAAACGCGTGGAATATACGAGAAATGGCCCCGGGTTGGAAATCCCGTGGCTACTTCTCGTATTTCTATTTTCCGTAATGACAGAGCTGAATACCGCGGTGAAGATCTTGGAGTTGTCATTGTTGATTAAAGATTTTGCCGGCGGTATTTATAATAAGATCCGAAACTAGCAGGCATTAATTGCCGGCATTATTTCCTAATGGGGGTATCAGTGACTGTCATTCTAAAAGCAGATAATCAAATTGATATTTGAAAACAAAAACGCTTTTCTCACGCGTGTCTCGTGAGAAACCAGTTAAATTATTAATGCTGATTGTTGCATTAAAAAGACTAGTTTGAATGGAACGATGCCAGGCGTATAAAACGTCGGGTATTGCAAATGGCGGCGTTAACTTAGCTAATTAGTTAGTTCTTCTTCTTCTTCTTCCTCTTCTTCTTCTTCTTCTTCTTCTTCTTCTTCTTCTTCGCATTCTTAGCATTATTCTTCACATTCTTATTCTACGTGTTCTTATTCTTCGCATTTATCTTCAGATTCTTCTTCTTCGTATTCTTCTTAGCATTCTTCTTCTTCTTCGTAATCTTCTTCTTCTTCTTCTTCTTCTTCTTCTCATTCCCCTTCGTATTCATCTTCTTCTTTTAACTATTCTTCGTCTTCTCCGTATTCTTCTTCGTGTTATTCTTACCCTTCTTCATTTTCTCCAAGATTTTCAATAGATGAGATTTCATTTTCATTTTAACGCTGGATTGAAGCCGGTTCCGCAATTGTAAAACGATTCCCAAGAATCTCATAATTCCAGCAAAGACGGATAATGACTTTCCGTTCTCACCTGCAACGCATTTCCAAAACAGCGAAACTCCTGCCGATTCTGAAAAGCACCGAAATGGCTAATCTTGTATCGTTTAAACAGATGGAATCACAAATTTACATGAATTGTATGCTTGCTTCTTTTTTTATTATTATTCCAACGAAATGTTTATTTCAATTTTAAAAAAAACACGTAATACATTAAAACAGCAATTATTTCTTTTTAATAATAATTTCCTATCTAAGGTATTTTTTTTCATTTTATCAGTTACTCGTTCTATCTGACTCTTTAAATTATTTGTGAAATTAGAGAGCCGATTTCGAATCCCAGTTGAGTTTGTTACGTTCACTTATGCGCAAATACCCGTGGAAAAGATATGAATCCATCCCCTCCCCATTATGGGTTAAATAGTAGGACGTTTATCTAGGAAAATTACTGGATCTAAAAAAAATTGTTAATGCAATGTTCACTCTGCAAAGAAAAAATATTTTTCTTCCCATACAAATTATGTTTTAGCTTTAAATAAGCCACAAAGTGTTGATAAACCGTCAAACCCACAACTTTTAACTATTTGAACTCAGATATGAAATGTTTAAATCATAAAATTGGGTTGAAATTATAACTGGGGGGTGCGAACGAATGGAATAAACGATTTAGCAGCGAAGAAAATAAATCAGGCGATGAAATACTGGCTGTGAAAATTGATGTCTCCTTCGAACTAATGATTACACTCACTTGAAAAATTAATGACCTAGGGTACGGTGGGGTAATCTGGATCATTTTGGGTTTGTTTTTCAATTTGAGTTATAATAACTTTCAAACGGGAAGGAGCAAGGATTGCAAATCTTATTGATAGTTGCAAATGAGGCTTTTCAGGCACGTCAAAGTGTACAAAATAACTTCCCTTCCAAATGGTGGACCATTCCACAACAACTACTTTTGTCATAGTTTCAAGACTATAGGTGGGTTAATTTTGGTCGGTTAAGAAAACACTCAATTACAAGCTATGTGAAAACTCCTGAATGGAACTGGTTACTATCAACAATAATAACACAAACAATCTGTAAATATCTATGGGAGCATTTCCATGACTGTTTCTAGATACACATTTAGGTCACGCATAATTGTCACATATATCACAGACTAGGAGTAGAGCCCGGCGTTGCCCGAGGATGCAGCAGTAAGAGATAGATCAAGTATCGACCATCATAAAGACTGAAAGATAAAATTGACAAAGATTATTGTTTAAGGTTGACGGACACGCATATCTTAATTAGTTTTTTTTTGTTTTTTTTTACGAATTGGTCAAACCCAAACTCAAACGAAAACATTGTTTTCAATCGTTATGAGTCTCTACCGATTGAATAGAATTTTATTATAAACAATTGTCTTGTAAATGGAATTTTTAAAGCATTCTGAATGTAAAAATAAAGAAAAAAGTGTGCAAGACAATAAGAGAAACACTACCTGCCAAAAAAAAGTGAAGTTTTGTTGAAATCGGTTGAAAAATGTAGGAAATCCGATCCCATATAAAAACGAACACACACACACACAAACAACCTGGGTTTTTATAAGTATAACTCGATATGAGTTGTCCCCCTTTCATTCTGGCGACAGAATCGTGTTTTATCGTGTTTTCAAATTGATTTCGTGCAAAAACAATTGTGTTTTTCCAATTTTTGGCGCTGTCAGAACCACCGCAAGGTAGTTTTACGTAGTCCTGTGAAGTTTTGTTGAAATCGGTTGAAAAATGTAGGAAATCCGATCCAATATATAAACGAACAGACACACACACACAATCTGCATTTTATAGTAAGTAAGATTAGCCATGTCCCTTTCCGCGTATAAGTTCTCCACAGTTTCCTACCCAAAAAAGCTGTGTCATCCCCATCTTCATTGCCTTCCTGCTCTTCACATTGACCTTCATTTTTACATGGCACCAACCTAAGTCTTACGAGACATTGCTTTCTGCTTTGCCTCTCTTGTTTCCGTTTCTGCTTGTAGCCTTCACAAGACAGCTGGAGTTGTTAGTAATTCTCCCTCGTTTGCGTTTCTTCTGAGCAATTTCGAGTCGACAGAACCTCGTAGGACATGTCGAAACATTCACCAAGAGTTTCTTGGTTAAGATTTTCCGCACGGACTTTGGTGAGGATTTTCGGTTTTTCTAATCGAATACAACCTCCCCAGGATTATCTAAATAAGATCATCCAATCCTTGACACGGGAATTGTCCTTGAATGCTGTTTTCTTTTCATGCTGTCTAGATAAATCATTATCATCAGCTTTATTTCTTCAGTTCCGCAAGGCCAGGCTAGAGCAGAGCGCTTTTCTAGAGCAACGACTACGAGCTCCACCTTTTGGTCTATCAACACCCGCATTCTACAAGCTTTAACTGGCTTCTTGGAGACCCGACGTCACAATGATTCTCTGCTAATACCAAAACTCTTTGCAATATTATGTATACTTGCACTATCATTCTGGACCTTGTTGATTGCGGCTTGCAGCGCCATCTGGAGTATACGATTCAGTTTTGCATTTGTATGTCCGAGGCATTCTAAAATAGAAAAAAGGGACCTGTATCATCAACTGTGCAACATTTTCTGGTTTAACAATCCACAATTAATCTCAAATCACTAAATTTCATTCAACTGATATGATTTATAGATACATCTGAGGTTAAACATGCACTAGTTGACACCATTCCTTAAATAGCAACGTGACCCAATTTACCCTACCAGACCAAATTTACAGTTTTTCCATTTCACCCAATACTAATCAACTGCTTGTACGCTCCGGCCTTCTTCAGGTGATTGGAATGTCGAACTTAAACCTTTATTTCGCTCACTTGGGTAAACTGTTCTAGTTCCGCCTGACATGTCTAATGGATTGCAGTTATCAGTTATCTCCTGTTAATTCCCCTCTCCAAGTTCTCCACTGCCTTAACCGGGTATTGAACTCACACTCTTTGGGTCCTTTCACTGGATCTAACCAACGCCTTTATCCACTGTGCTATGTGTCCTTGAGGACAGTCTACCCCAGTAAGCGAAATAAATGTTTCAGTTCGACATTCCAACCACCTGAAGAAGGCCGGAACGTACAATGGCCGAAACGTTGTAATAAATATGGCGACAAAGATGAGTACAATAGTCCGAATAATGTAAATAGTGTACATAATACCTCATCTTAGAAATATAGACAGATACTGAAAGGCTGAAACGTTGTAATAAATATGGCGACAAAGATAAGGACAATAGTCCGAATAATGTAAATAATGTACATAATACCTCATCTCAGAAATATAAACAGACACCTATTTCTTGGCGCAGGAACTCACTTATACGGTTTTTTTTTTTTAATATCTATAGCCAAAATACACTCTTGGAACCAATTCAGCAGATCTTCAACTGGCTGGAGAAATCTTCGAACCAACGGCCAAATCTCATCCTGTGGTACATTGATTATGCCGTAAAAGCAATGCAAAAGTTTGGGCCGAACAGTCCACTCGTAAGTATGTTTGATGTTTCTTCCATAGCCTCTTAGAAAAATAACATTGATTTAATTGTCCAAGGCGAAAGAATTCAAACCTGTCATGTGACTACCTCATCCACCAAGCAGGTAAACAAACGTTCTTTTAATAAAGTATATTTTACTCGTTTGGGTTTGATTTGTTTGTTTATCGGCATATCGATTGCTTATGGGTCATTTAATGCTGAAATGTAATTTTCTTGGTAGCATTAGTAATTTCATTTACAAAAATGTCTCGCTGGTAACTTCTTTTTTCAAAAAAGTATCACTGTTATTTTTACTATGAAAATGTAATTTTATACATTCATAGTGTTTCGACCAGAGTTTGTGGGGTTAACTATTTAAAAATATTTAGGATCCGAACAGGTACTAGGGTTAGGATGACCTGAGAACAACAGTTAATAAAGTTAAAGCTCCTCAAAGTCTCCTGATCATAGGCCTTGCTGCCCGTTGTAGTTTATCGTCATACCAGGACAATGTTTTTTCCTTTTATCGTTTTTTTTTTATTTTTATTTTTATATGTAATATTCCTATATTTGGTCGTAATGGCATATGATAAGCTTCGGAAATATGGTGCTTGTCCAAATAATTGTAACAAGACTGTGTTACGCACGTTTTGCAAATGAGAAGTGTTCGTTTGCCAACTTCTAAAATCATTCAAAACTTGCGTTTTTATTTGAGCTCAAACTCCTGGAGGAAATACGCGATTTCGTGATTATGAACCAAATCTGGTACAAGGTCACCATTATGGAGCGATTTGATCATTGAACTGAGCATCTTGCTAACGAAC